AAGGTCTCGGATTCCCAAAACTTCTGACGAGGAAAACGCGTCTATTATCAATTCTGTTCCGAAATCTACGGTTTACAAGAACAAATGGGCGATACAGATCATGTCAGTTCAGTATTTCAGGGACTAATTTTCGATAAATGTATTGTTAAACTCGTTATAAATTCTACGAACTGCGATTACATGTGAAATACCCAACTATTTTGTTACAATCTTAGAAGGAAATAAAACTTTGTTGTTTGCTTGAGATGTCATTTACTTCAAATTAATTTATTGATGTCATATGATTAATTTTCCGAGAATCAGTAAACATTTGGATATTGTATCCAAATCTCTAAAGATTTTCATCCAGTTTTTCATTGGGTATCCAAATACATGCACGTGATGTAGTATACATGCAGTGATTTGTAGTTGACTTTATGAATTATTCATGAGTTTGAGAAGCGACGATCAAACTGTGATGACCCGGTTAGTGAAACTTAGTTTAGTAAGAAAACTGACCAGTAGTAGCTTTCATCGGGAGCTTTTGATCCCCAGCCAAAACAAAGGCCAGCCTAAATGAACAAGAATATTAACTTTTAGCTCTGGTTGAAAGTTAAACCCGGGTTTCTGATCCTCTTGATCAACCTGAAGACGGGAGCAACACAATGGAGGGCGGGAGTCGGGAGGCAAGGGGGCACACAAGTACGGGAGGCGGGAGAGCGTGGCACGGGAAGCGGGAGACCCCGACCCCCCTGTCCCCCCCCCCCACTTGTTACGCTTGCGGGGGCTGAAACAAAAATTTAATTCAAGCGAGGCGTCGCTTACGGAGATGTATTGTCGATGAGACCAGAATACTAAAACGACCAAGATATTACGACGCAAATGATTAAAAATAATGGTAATACAATGAATTTTTATTAATCGAGGTGAAAACTTACGAAATATAAGGGAAAAGCATGTAAAACAAATCTAACTTAATTACGACGCAAATCGCGATAAAAAATGTAAAAAAGGCAAAAAAAAAAATAAAAAAATAAGTACGTTCAGAGATTCACGCAAACAGGTAGTTAATAGCACAAGCGTTCTCAAAACTATAAGGAAGGTGTTGACTCGTAGACTTTGAGAGTGATTTTCGCCACTTATCATAAAGCCATTAAAAAAGTACATAGCACAATATAACTTTGAGTATCTTCACGATCTGATCAAAATAAAAGAAAACTAAACCTTTGCAAAATAAAAGAATCAAACTTACATATTGGTCCCACTTGCGCCAAAGGTTACAGGTTTACAAAGTTATCAACGGTCAAGATCCTTCGAATTGCTAAAATACAACTGAAAAAAGAGACGCTAAGGTTGCCTTTCATATGCGTATAGGACGCAAAAATGGGACGCCAAAGGGTCGGATTTAAGAACAGTAGATAGGCAAATCAACATGAATAAACATTTTCCGTTCCCCATTTTCAAAATTTGTCGCCAAGCGTCTCTATGATTTCGAATTTTCATGTGTCGGAAAAATCTGGGACTGTCGGGAAATAGTGACCGACGATCGCATGGATTTTCGCGACATAAACCTCAAGTATTGATGATTTAAAATTTTAAACTACTGAGTTCAGAATGTAAGACATTTGTTGTTGGATGTTCAGAAACTTGATGTTGAGTTTGCATGATAGAATACTCTAAATTTAAAGAGTATTTTCTATTGTTTGTGTTGGGTTATGTCAACTATCTAGCGCTGGGTATCCTATTTTACGAATTATGTGGGTATGGCTTAAAACGCAATTAGGAAAAAATTAGGAATAGATGGGATGTTGATTAATAATTCAGATCATGGATAACTCAATTAAGATGTAATATTTTGGTTGTACATGTAATTAAAGGTGATCGCCGAATAGTGGGACTCTTTTGGACCACAGATTTGTGGAGGCCGCTCCTAATCAACTCGTAATGTGTCGTTCGATCGAAATTCGATTAAAAAATTACAACCGTTACTCTTCATAGCTGTCAATAACTCCTTTAAAAAAAGAAAAATATAAACATATGGCCCGTTCAAAAACCTTCTCTCCAATTTTTCATACCCTCATCAAGAGACCTTCGGGGATGACAAATTTGATAGGCAGTCAAGACATGGTTATTAATTCAGGGCCTAGTTATTGTTAACGCACTGAACACTGCTACGAACGACTTCATTTGGAGAAAAAACATATATTCATTAAATTATGGTTTTCTTTTCATAAAAGAGTTGGGGTTCTTGGCATTGTAGAACCAATCCCGGTCAAGGCGGTGAAGTCTCTAAAAAGCCTCACAATCGGTTTTCCTTGCCATAATCTAGCGCATGCACAGACATTGTCCAGTTCTGCCATCAAACGTGATCGAACGTAAGAAGACGTGAACGTGAGCACGTATTGGATAGCGGTATTTGCATGGAATGTGTGCCCAGACAGCACGTGACTCTCCAAAATATATCAAACAACTATGGCGACCGAAGATGATTCTGACAGTGAACTTGCTTCGAATGTTGTGGGCTGTTGGCGATGAATAAAGGCAGCGAAAGTGTTGCCTCGTGGAACGATGCCTCAACTTCACCTCTCTTTCTCGTGATTACCACAGAACGCGAGTCAAGCTCGGTAGCTCAATACCATGCACGCAGCCGCAGAGACTTTGATTCTTCCAAGTCAGGGAGAGTTTTCCCTGCTCGATCTTGATGCAGATAACTTGAACACTGTGGAAGAGACTAAAGCGCGGATTCAGGAAATTCTTCATTCTTCTCGTGATTCGGGGTTGTTAAATACCATGGTGGAGTATTATCTAAAAACGCGTTCCCCTGCATGTCTGCAGATTTTGAGCGGCATCCACGAAGCACGAGCTCAGGTAAGCTGATCTTCCATAATTGGATTTTTTTCTGAGAGGCTTTGTTCATTGTCCGGGTACACACCTGTTTCTACAGTGTGCTTTAGCTGTGTGTTGTTTTCTTTTCAAAGGCATTATTTGAGAAAATGAACGAATGCCTGAAACAGGCGCCGTCCCGCTTGGACACCCTATCACTTCTCGGTCATATCGTGCGAAGGCAGGTAAGGGTAACCATGATCGGAATTTGAAATTAGTTGTTGACGAAACAACGTACCCTTAGCTTTATAGATTAACTAAATAGCTATAGATTCATGTTGAAATCGTTTGAGATGGAATCCCAAGCATGACAAATAAATTCGACAGCTTAACAAACTGGCACATGTGTTGCATTTAGGGTTATTATTAGTTTAAGATCCGGCTGAAGTTGAAATCACGTTTGGTTAACCAACTTGTCTGCTGTTAATCACCCTTTTAACACCTACTTCCTCATATGCTGTTGTCACTGGTTGATTTTGGCTCAAAAATTCCTCACCTGATCCTGCGAACTGTTAAACTGCAAAGATAGGAAAAGGTGTTACTATTATTTTAAGTATTTTCATGTTGTGAATGTCCAAGCTCCTGTTTCTCAGACAATTAGGGTGTTTACCCTTCCACTCCCATGTGTGACCAAGACAGAATTTCTCCTTACAGTGCCAATACAATATTAAGAAGACAAGTGATGAGAATAAAGAAAAATATCAACTAGGGGATTATTAGTTGATCAGATACCAAGTTCTCTAAAGGAACATCATAAGAATTGTATCCCAGAGAGAGGGGAGGATTATTAATGAGATCTTGGGAGTGAAGAGGTTAAATTAATTTTCTCCTTCTCAGGGAGGTGTTAAACAAGGTTCATTATTACTATGTAATAGAATTAAGTCTAAATTCAATATAACCATTATCTTCAGTGTTCTATTTCACAATTATCCCATGGGTGCATGTTGGATATGAGATGATAGATAGCCAATGAGGCGTGTATGAGGCTATAATCATCTTATATCCAACATGCGCGAGTAGAATGATTGTTTTATKAAAAAATGTTAAATTAAATTATTAAATTTTATTAAATTTTTTAGCTCCCTTTTAATTTTAAGCTAATGCATATATGCTTACCATATTTGTAGATTATGGTATATTGGCTCATATACCAGGGTTCGACACCTATCTCTCTGCATTACTAGCCACTGGGCTGGTGATTTCTAAAATTTGCTGGCCCGAAACACAACTTGGTAGCCCAGATCAATTTCGCTTGAGGTCTACTTCAACCCCAAACATGCAAATCTTGATCTAAACTTATTGGTCTTTTAAAATGATAAAGAATGGTACAATTGCTTCAAGTGCGAAGTGATCGTGTTTAGTGATGTGCAAGGCATCGCATTATTGGTAGGGAGAAGACTGGGGAAAACATTGACCATTAAGCATAGAGTCTCGGATTTTAAGGATGTTTACGATCGACACGCAAGACAAAAAAAGACACCAGAAGATGAAAGGGTTCTGCCTTGTTTATTGGTATTATAATTACAATTTAATCTTTCTTGTTTTTTAATCAACTGTGAACTTCAAGTGAACTAATTATATATAATTTCTTTCAATTTTTCTACTAGCCAGAGGACTAATAAACATGGTTTTTTACTAGCCCGACCAAATTTTTACTAGCCTCGGGCTACCAGGCTAGCGGAGTTGTCGAACCCTGATATACCACAATGGCTAAGCCAATAAAAAGTATTGAATTGCATTATCCATTGATCCAGTTTTTAATAATTGATTTTATACAGTGAACTGGATACTACAAGTATTTTGATTGGTTCTTATTTTATGATCAATTGGAGGAAAGATGAATAGATGACTTCACCATGGACAAAATTTTGCTTTTTTTGTTTATAAAACAAAAAGATTCTATGTTGCCATGGATCTTTACAGTTACTGTTGCGACAGATCATAGAAGATGTCAAATGTGACACATTTGGCTGTACCTGTGTGACACTGTTTGTTCTTACCACATTTTGATGTTATCTGTGATCTGTAACGGAACAGACGCATGGCAACATGGATTCTATTTGCCAACTTCTGAGTTACCCTTTTCTGTCAGGGATGTTGAATTATTGAGTCAAGAGAAAACTGAAATACCACAGTAAAAGCAAGGAAAACTGAACTTTGGGAGCTATCAGTTGACAAAACAGCTTGTGCCATCCGACTAGAAATTCACCTTAAAACTTAGATTACCTGATGATAATTTTACCTTTGGGAGTGAGGTTCTATACTAGAATAGTATGGGGTTGTACATAAAATTATCCCCAAAAATATTCACTTATCTGCCTTTTTAGTCTAGAATTGTCAATTGGTAAGAGAATGATGATTCAAGTATTGTCCACATTTGTGTCACAAAGTGTTAATTTTGTTAACTCAAAAGTCTATTAGTTCTCAAAAGTCCCTTTAGGAAAACTTGTGTTTTTACTGTAGCCCTCCTGGTTGTACAAGATTATCAAGACGTCCTTGTTTGAAAGTCTTTTGAAGTGCATGAAGGTAAAGACCACCTTTTGTCCAAAAATACATCACACCCCTTGTATTATTAGGAATAATTATTGTTCTACATTGCTTCTCATTTTGTAAGGGTTGTGGTACTTTAACTACCACCCTCACTTTGCTAATTGTGGGAGATCTAGTTGGCTGGACTCTAGGTTGAGAGAGCTGAGTGCAAGACTTGGTGCTGTAAAACACTTTACTTTCACAGTGCCTCTCTCCGCCCAGGAGTGTAAATGGGTACCAGTAAATTATCGGGGAACCCTGATGAAATTCTGGTAACTTTGCGATGGACTATGTTCCTAGCTAGGGGGGAGTGGTGATACTCCTTGTTGCCCCAGGATAAGGAAAACGGGATAAGCTCTGGCTTGGCAGTTGGCTTGAGTATCTACTGTACCTTTTTTCACTCAGTTGGAAGCTATTTGTTACCTTAGGACAAAGTTTTTTTCCCTGGGATTTCCAGGACTTTGCCCTTAAAATGTATTTTAAACATAGTTTCTATTGGTCTTGCCTTGAGCATTATCCTTCTCGAGAAGATCTGTGGAATACTCCCAGTTGGCTTTCAAGATGTGTTTCCATACATGTAACTGAGAAGAGAAGCACGTTTCTTTTAACAAGCTTTATTAGTCACAAGTTACCCCTGGGTCCAAACCATTTGCTGTTTTAAATTCATGTATCTTTAAAAATGTGCAATTAAATTGGCTGAAGTAATTCTTTATTTCACTTGTAGGGAGATGAAGATGTATTGGTATTAACAAGTGGAATTTTAACCATTACAACTTTGTTACCATTGGTACCAGCCTACATTGGTCATTGTTTACAGGACTTGTTTGAAATATTTTCAAGGCTATCCTACTTTAGAGTTCGTCATTCAGGTAAAATGCTTTTATACTAACCTGTACACATGAGTGCTTACATTGCTTTATATAGTAGAAATCAGGCCAAACTGATAGTTGTGTAATTTAATTTATTTCTTACATACTGAGATTTATTCATGAAAAAGCCAGCTAAGAATTTGTATGATACACAACCAACCAATCAGAAAAGCAAATGACTTTGAAAATAAATCGTTCGTCCAGTCAGAGACACAATTAATAGTTATTCACAGTGGTGGGCAACAAGAGCATGGCTTTCTATAAATACAGTAGGGAGGAAGAGGTGCCAAGATTTGCTCTAATAGAAGGAACAATAGATGAGCAAAAACACAAAACCTTGAGGGCATAGACTAACTGAGATGTAAGCCTACTAAAAACCTTTCTTAAGAGAATAATTTGGATATATCAACAAAGTTGAAATGGTAAATTGGCCACCATAATGATTGCAAAAGCTGACGTTTCGAGCATTAGCCCTTCGTTGGAACGAAAGAGAAAGTTGAAGTTCAGGAATGCGAGTGATCCAAGGGGGACAGTTCCCAGTTACAATGAATTTATTAACACCATTAATCAGTCACCCAAAGTAACCCACCAGAAAATCCGCCATGGAAAAGACTCCATGTCTTGTCTAGCAGTTCTGATGAAGATTAAAGGAGAGCTATTTCATACAAACTATTAAAAGAACAACTGTGTTTTGATTTAATTACATTTTGTAAATGAAATTTTTGCATTGGTTATTTATAAAACCGAGGTTGTCCATTTTCTTTTTCAAGTTTTCATACTTTATAATTGTAAGCATCTGCAAATTCACAATGTCATTTATGAATTGAATTCTAAAAATATTTATTATCTTCATCCTTCTTTTAAAAATAAAGTCTCTCAGCAAATTGTGTAAATGAATGACAGAATAATAACAAAAATGTGTAGGTGTCAACAGAGACTGAATATTGTGCCAGGTTGCAGGTTTCGCAGTGTTTATAATAAAATTTGCTTTGGCACTTAACCTTTAAAAGGTGGCAAAAGTCAGTCAAGGTTACTGCATGCATCCCTTCAATTGTAATGTGAATGACTTTTGTTTTGCCCAGGTAATGCCCCGGAAGTACACCTTCTCCACCTTCATGTTGCAGTATACATGCTGTTTCATCGTCTGTATGCCATGTATCCTAACAATTTCTTGGCATATCTAAGAGTGACCTACTGTAAGCCTCCTAAACAGAAACTTTTCCAGAAGACAATCAAGGTGAGGATCTTAATTTGAGTACAAGTCTTTTCTTCATTTAGCGGCAGAGTTTTGAAATACAGTCTACAGTCAACAAGACTTGCAACTTCCATCATCAACTTTTAAAACCCTTTTACTCCCAAGATCTGATAATGAATTTTCCCCACTAACTACTACAGATTTCATTGTAAATTGGTTACAAGTATTTGGTGTTAGATCTAGATAACAACTTCTGCCTGATAACTCTGTGTGCATGATCTCGTTACCTGTTTGTTAGCTAATATATGCATCTAATTATAGAGAAAGTTACAAGTTAATTACTTGTGGGAGCTCAAGGGTTAAGATACTTAAGAAGAGACAATAGGCCATTTGGCCTCTTTTCAAAATAAGGCCTAGCATGGGAATGAAACTTTTAATTATATGAAAGGATGAGCTCCAGGAACACTTTGAAAAAGAGGCAAAAGGTAATCAGAATTAAGCTACTTATTTGATTTACATTGTAACTTATTTTCCAACACTCTCATATGATTATAGTCCATGGAAATAATCTATTATCTCACGCTGTTTTGGGAGAGTTTCTCCTTATGTCTCAAGAGTTGCCTTGCCTTGTCATGTGTAGTTCTCCTCTGGGTATTCCTGAGATTGCCATCAATGCTGTTGTTAAATAAATTTCACCACAGTGCTTGATTTACATGTCTGGTTGGTTTCATGAGCGTACACCCTATTCAGTCCCACTTCCTCCTTGTTATATAATGTAGACATTGTAGTTTGACTTTAGATCCTAATATCCATCACGAAAATATAAATAAAAACCCAGACTTACTTTCTGTTTAATTTTCTTAGCCAATGTTGGAGCATGTGAAACTTCACCCATGTATTATTACAGAAACTGTGCATACAGAGACTGAAAAACACAGGTTAGCTGATGAATGTACCAGCAGTGACATTAGTTTGTAGCATACGCTGTCAGGTCATTTGGTTTGAAGTATCATGTTTGCAGGCTTTCACAGTATCCGAAATCTCAGTGGGGAATTGTTGACCCAAGGTATACAGGATTTTCTAGAGTGGAATTAAAACCTCAAACTCTGAAACACCATTGTATTTCTCTGCAACCTTCATGTGCCCTTCCAGACTCATTTGTTGGAATGCATATCACCTCCCCTGCCCATCTCAGTGATGGTCTCTGAAATGACATGAACACATTGGAAGGGGTGAGGGGTGAAAAAATGTTGTAGGTGTTGTTCTGAAGAAGTGTCCAGACTAATTTTGTCTAGCAGTGTATTTAAAAGGAATTTTTGGTGTACTGCACTGTTTATATGAATGTGGTGTATTCTATTTCTGATTTTGTAACATTAATGTGATCCAGGTGGCGACAAAAGGAGCCTCACGATATTGTAATAGAATGTATGAAGCTGTCTCTGGACCCAGTGGACAGAATGCAAGAGAAGGGAAGTTTGATGTCATCATGGACTTTCATGCATAGTCACCAAGAACTTTTTTCAGACAAATCCATCAGCCCTATGTTGACAACATCAGGTGATAGTCAAGGACCTGAAACAAGCAGATTAAAAGAACGTCGCATGTCAGACTCTGCAACACAGACTGGTAAATCTCTACAAAGTGGTGACAGTGGTACGGAGTCTGATAGTTTGCCAGTGATTGCTACTGACGGGATTGAATTAAATGCAACTCCTGGCTGGAGTCCTTCTGATGTTTGTGGGCTTAACACCCCGCCATCATCTCAGATGTCGCCTTCCACAAGCTATCCTGATCTGGTATCATCTATTCGTATCCAGTCTCATTGCAGTACCCCAGGAATAGTTGACACTCCAGGGCAATCCCCAACAACATCTCTTGGGGATGACGTACTAGGATATTCAAGCTCACCCTCTTTGACTGCTGGCAGTAGAGGAAAGGTTGTGATGTCAGAGGGGATAAATGGTGGAAAGGGGAACTCTGTTAAAGGTGGGAAGGCTTGGAGTCAGGAGGGAGCATTGACGAAAAGTTTAATTTCTGTGTTAGCTGGGCAAAGTTATGATTCGGCCCCTGCAGCCATTGGGGAACAACAAACATCGACACCAAGAGATTCTTCAGAATATCAGGAAGACCAGTTTGACACAGCTCTATTTGAGAGAAAAAATTCATCAACTTCCCTAAGTACCAATGAAGTACAAGGGGAGGTATTTAAAGAGAATCTCACAAGTTTAAGTCCAGAAAAAATTCATAGGGATGATTTAATTGTTTCTCCCAAGGAGGAATTTAGAGACTCTAATGGCCAAAAGGATTGCGACCCAGATGGAAGAAAACTGGAGACAATTGGGCCATTGAAGGATGCGATTAGTATTGATGTTATGGAAGATGCATTGACCCCTGTTTGTGGTCAATCTTTAGAGGCAGAAACATTATCAAACACACCTGTTGACAAAACCAACGAATCCCCAAATGCTTGTCCTTGTACAGAAGCTCAGGAAACAGATATCTATCTTTCTTATCCTGTCCCTGATGTTTCATTAATGAATAAAGAACCAAACAAGCCTCCAGTGAGTAAACCTGATTTAAATGCACACCAGGAGCCAACAAAATTGGGAGAAGTGGATGAAAATGAAACAAGCCTAAAGTGGGATGAATGTTCATCGAGTGTTTCTAAACTTCACTCTCTAATTCAAGCTGGGTTGCAGAACCACCTTCCATTGCAAGTGTGTGACTTGGTTGCAGCTTTTCCATACCTGTTGCCATTGCTTAGAAATGACCAGGAGCAGACTGTTAATAGTTCTTTGGCTGATGGAGATGACTTGATATCCTCAAGAATTCAACAGCAGATGCATGACGTAACACCAGTTGAGATTCTTGATGATTATCTGAAAACAGGCAAGAGCGTACACTATGGTGAGCTCTCAAGGTAGGGTCATGTCCATCTCTTACTTAAGTTTTGTTCCGATTGTTGTTGTGCTACAAACTCCTATCATAGATTTTCCCACTCTTTGCTAGATTTTCAAAAGGCCTTCTCTCGCCCCAGTGCCACTCCTACTGCCCCTGACACTCTCCTGTCAAGAGCACTCTCTGGCTGAATGTCATAAAGCCAAAACTTAAGTACTGGTTTCCATGGTAACTGGAGGGAAAACAACTCAAATGAAAAACCGTGTAGAAAACAGTAAAGGAAAATTTGAATGGTTTTATGGAAGCCATGTATTTATTTGTCAAAGATCACTTTTTGTAAAGTATCTGTAGCCAGTCACTTTCAAGAATTGAAAAACTAAAATGATTTTTGATCATTGAAATATTGAGATCAGGTGATAATTTTGTTAGTAAGCCTCTTGGTTTTTGGAGGCCCCCTTGCCAGCTGTTAAAATTTTGAGTTAAACAAGTATTTATTTAGGAATGATGGAATAAAATTTGTTTCCTTTTGTATCTTCTGCAGGATTCCTCTTGTCAATGAAGCTGGTACAGTTTGGACACATTTTGGAGGTATAACCAGATTTTGTCTTTCTGGTTTAGTGATCAGTTACTTTACTTATTAACACTTTGTCTGATTACTTGTGACTTAATTTAATCCCAGCAGAAATAGCTAATGATGGTTTATGTCTGCTATTTCTATCATGGTTATCAAATTTGTAGGTGATCCCCCAGTAGATGAAGTAGAGATCTTGAGAGGACAAGTGAAGTTGCTTCATAATCAGCTACTGTTTGAACGACACAAGTGTGATCTTCATGCTATCCGTAACAGAAGACTTGTAGGCAAGACATTCAAGGCTGTACAATATCAGGAAGAACTTCAGGCCACGGTATGTATGTTGATTGTGATCTTTTCTGTGTTTTAAAATACAGGTGCAAGTAGAACTGTGTCTTTGAGACTCCTCTATTCAGGGAACACCCTGAACAGAGTAGGGAAGGAAGTCATTTGAATGCATCTTTGAGAGAAGTAAATAACCGGTCAACCTTGTCCATCAAACCTGATGTTGGAAGAAAATTTTTGACTGTTTAGCAAGGGCTTAAGTAACAAACCCAATTTATGTGTACTTATCTTTGTTACATTTTAGAAAGATCAGCTGAGACTACAAGAAGATAAAATGCGGGAACTTACTGACGCACTCAAAAATAGAGAGGAAGCAAACAGGTTTGGCATAAAGTTACTAGAGGGTATATGTAAACAAATTTTCATGTATCTAGGAGGTTAGTCTTTAAAGAGACTATGGTAATGCATCAGTAGGGATATTGAAAAATAATTTGCTTTAGTCAACAGAGTTGTTAGAGTGAATTGGCCACTGTAAAGAGATTCTATAGCTCAAATCTTTTTACAGTGGTCAATGTAAGTGCATTAAAAACTTATTGTTACATGAATCTGATGGTTACTTTCAGTTTTTAACTCCTTTTGTGTGTCTGTGTCTGGTAGCATTTTTGTTTTAGAGATTTGTGTCTTTAACATTTGATTTTCTCTGCAAAAATCAGGGAATTTAAGGGAATCACTTCTGCATGGGATCATCAACAACAATTGAAGCTGAGGTGAGATGTCAGCTATTTTTGCACACACAAAAAATTTCAATAAGACAAATCCCATTCCAAGTTGATATCTGCTAAGGATCTGAGCCAGTAAGGGGCAAAGATGTTGTACAAGTAGCATGTTCTTTCTAGTTGGAGTAAGAATAAAATAGTTTGGTGAAATTGGAACTTGCTTAGCAGGAAAAGCTAGTGATTCCTTTATTGAAGAAAGTATTTACCACAAATAATAGGAACACTTATGATGGTTTATGTAGATGAAATAGTTGGATAAAAAATGTTGTATGAATGGTGGCAGTCTAGGTGAGGAAAACATAAGAAGAGTAAAAAAAAAGAGGTGCTCGGCCATCTTCTCTATACTGGTTAGCAGAGGATGTTAAAGAACTTATACACTTTCCTTGAAGAGTGGGGAATGTAGTTCCCAGTGTTGTGGCCTGCTCTTGTTTCCATAAATTTCTATATTGATATAATATCATTATATTGTTGTATATCTGGCCAAATTCCCCTGCAAAGTGTTGTAAAGGGCATAAGGGTATTATAATTATATTAATATGGAGAATGTACTCTTTGAATCTGTCATTGTCATAATTATGATTGTCAACATGTTTTCATTTCTTTCTTTGGTTTAGGGATTTGTTGAATGAGAATGCTCATTTAAAATACACCCAAAAGGAACTGTTGGAGAAGCTTGAAGTGCAGCAGAAAGATTTTGATACAAAGCAAACTGTAAGTGTTGATCATGTTAACTTCAAAGCTTCTTGTGCTTGCATAAGATTGCCCAACAAAAAGGAAGAAAAAGAAGAAAACAAATTACCACAGTGATCAAACAGCGACCATGGGAGATTAGACCAGATCAAGATCAACACCTTAAGTTGTGGATGAAAATTCCACTCTAAATGCTCTAGCTGAACAAAACTTATTCTTTGCACAAACTAAATGAAAAGTTTATTTCCTGACATCCAACTTCTATCTGTATCCTTAGGTACTAGTTTTAATGGTTACTGCATCATTGGGTTGAGTAAAGTAGGCTCAATATAGTACCAATATAGTACCAGTAAGCCTCTTCTCAATAAAGACCTTGGGAATTTATAGATTTTTTTTTGCCTAGTTGAAAGTGCTGTGCATAAAGCATGGTAAAGGATGGCTTCTCCTAAGGGACTATCTCCCAAAAGTGACCACTTTCCATAATTCTAGATGTTGATTAACCCTGCTCTAATGGCACTCTGCCACTTTTTGAATATGGTACCGTGTATTTTGCTATTGTTGAAAATGTACATTCTGTAATTTCAGGAGATTAACCAGGCAAAAGCCAGGATATTCACATTGGAAAAAGAGTTAGATCAACTGAAAACATGCTTAACAGAAAAAGACCGGCTATCAGATCAGGTACAGCAAACGTGCATAACAGGATGCCACCTGTGTCTGGTTGATTTTTCACTTTTGTACCGCCAATGATATATCATACATTTTCAACATTCCTTTGAATTCATTTTAGATTTTAGAATTTCATAATTGAATTAAGTCTCACATTCTGATAGGTTAACCAAGTGAGGTATTTAGCATGGAATTGCGAGTCAAAGCTTAGTGATATTGCTCCACATCTATTGTTTTGAACGTGATAAAAACAAACAGTATTATGGCTGTTTTCTTTTTTTCTTATTTTTATTCAATTATGTGATCAAGGAAAATCCATTACCTGACTGAGGAATTTTGCATTAAATCACACTTGAAAACCCATATCACAATTTTCACTTTGTGATTCATGTGACATCAGTTTTTGGGTGCAATTTAACTTAGAATTCCCTTGTCAGGTAATGAATTTCCTTTAGTATCCTCAATGACACTGCTTTAAACTGGCTATTAAATGTTTGTATTATTGTGATTCAGAAAGTTGGAATGAAGACTTGGATGATACATTTCTGTTTTTCACAACAGCCATACTTTAAATTTGAATATTTATTATTATTTATCTAATTTCTGTTGCTATAACTATATTTTGATATTATCATTATTATTATTATTATTATTATTATTTGAAAAATGATGTAAACACATGTGACTTGTATAGGAATGGAAAATGTTTGGACTTTGAACTAACATGGAATCTTCAAATCATTAGAAAAGAAAATTTTTTTTTTTTTGGAAATACTTCTCCAGTGATTAAAAAAATGAGAATTGATGCACTGGTAAATATCTGAAAATTAAGCTTCATATTTGTTGTTATATTTGTTTCTCTACTGTATGTTTAGATGGGTCAGCTTGTCAAGGAACTCCTGATCATGGGGGAATTAAATCAACAACAGAAAGAGACAATTAAGAAACTTAGTCTAGTTGAGGGGCAGAATCCAGAAAGCACCATGCAGTTACATAGTTGTCACAGGGAACTGGGAGGTAAAGACCTAAAGAAAACTGTTTTTTTTGTATAGCTGTGATACTGTGAGTGGTGTACTCTACAAAGTCAAGGACTATTGGACCCAAGATGTGTGATGATAACTTAGAATTAGTTAAATAAGGACATCTTTAGAGTTTTCACTCAACAACTAGATTGTTAAGGTACCCCTAAATCAAACGTGAAGGTGATGAGATAAAACAGAATGGTTGCCAACTAAAATAAATCATGATTGTTTTACAAATTCTCCATATCGGTACTTTTTAATTTAATTTAGTAAGAAATGCATTGAGAACAGTATGGAGAATATGCATACCAATGTTAGAGTGTAAAGGGTTGTGTTATTAATTACAGTAATTGAATATTCTGTGGACTCTCTGTCTAGGGTACTGGACTCTCAATCCCATGGTTTGGCTTTTGCACTATGCACTTTTTTTTTTAAATATATAATCTTGTATGTGTCTTTACTTACAGCTGCTAAACAGACAGTGAAAAGGCAGAAGGCTGAACTTGAAGCTCTGAATGCAAAACTTGCAGATATAGAATCAGTTGCTAGTAGCAAGGTACTCAGATATGTTGTGCCTAACATTTATGTATAATAATATTTAGAGTGGCCTTTGTAAAGAATGAAGGAACAGTGTAAAAATTTATAAACCAGTCAGTTTCAGCTGTCAAGTGTCATTGCTGTTTTGTGTAAAAGATGGGCAATTGGCACCATGTTTTGTTTCTTTTTGTTTGTTATTAATTTCTGACACTTGGTCAATACAATTTTGATATCCATCTTTGCAGGATATCGAAATCAGAGAATTGAAGAAATTCTCTGAACTGTTGAAAGGAACCTACAATGGGAAAATAGAGGTGATCGTTTCTGGAATGGTTCTGTTGTTTTTGTTGTTGTTGTTGTTGTTATTGTTATTGTTGGTTTGCAGCTGTACATGTATGTTTATATACATTAGATGTATTACTAATAAATTAGCCCTGTTGTAGTCGTGATAGTCCAGTTGAAGAGTACTAGATATGAACAAATGATGTAAGTAGCAATAAGATTGTAATTCAATGTTTATTCCTTCACAAAAATTTTTTGCATCGGTAGTAACTTAAACGTGGAATTTTTGGAAGTTGTCAGTAATATCTGGTTGTATCTGTTTGCAGTTTCTTCTGTTATTCTTTGTGTTACAGGATTCATAACAAGACATACATGTACTGTATGAGATAACACTTGAGCTTGCTCAAACTCTGGACATGTTACATGGTCCATATGCTTATTCATCCATTTGTCTCTGTCAGAGCATCTTAAAAAAGCTATGCACAATACTTATCTGATTAGATCATTTAGATTGCTTTCACTCGCACTAAAAATTTCACTTTCTTTTCTTGGCTGACTGGGATAGGAAACACTCAAAAGGTGAAAAGAAATTTTAAACCCTAAACTCCCAAGATCTGATTATCAATTCTCCTTTCTAGCTGCTACAACCTTCCTTGTGTAGAAATACAAGAATTTGGTGTTAGATCAAGATAACAACTTCTACCTGATAAGTTTGAGTATTCTCATTGCCTGTTTTCTGGATAAGGTATAAGTATTATAGGGAGAAGTTACATGTTAATCGCTCTGGGAATTAAAGAGTAAATTAACTTCAAGAATTAACTTTAAGAGATCTGTCATGAGCTTGGGAAGTATTTAAGGGGATTGTGACCTCACACATTCAAATCATGTACTTCTAGTCAGTTATTATTTCACCTCTCATTTTGCATACTTTACTGATTGTTTCCTCTGTGAAATTTCTCTTTGTGTAGAGTTTGGAAGAAAAATACAATGCTCAAAAGAAGATGACTCAAGCCCTAGAATCTTATATTTTACATGAGCAGTCATTGGAAAGTAAGAAAGAGGAGGAAATGGAGCACAGCCCCTAATTATTCAACTTATTTAAATAATTAAGGCATTAAATCCTTCCATACTAAATTAATATTTTATCGTTTGCCAGTAGGATATTCAAAACAGGTCTCGTACTGCAGCTTGTATTCCAAGCTGAATGGTTGGAGCATTTACTGCTTTAGTTAATTTATCACTTTATTTCCAGCACAGAGATATACCATATTTTATGTGTTTAATTAAGTTTGCCTTACTTACTGTGTAAGAAAGTCTACAACAGAGACTGCTTGATTTGAGAATCATATTCACTATTTTTCTTATTATTATTAATAACTCTCAAATAAGTGCATGCACAGCTATTGGTCAAATTAGCAGGCTGTGTTCCGCTGTACAGCCTGCTAAATTGCTCTATTGAAACTAGAGATATAAAAATACTGTACTAACCTTGTTTTCTTGGTCTGTACTATACAGTACAGAACAGACCTCGAACTTGGTTAGTAAGAAAAATGTATTTGTCTCTTCTTGGAGTTATGACAAATGGTGACTTTTGTGTGGTACAGTTTTTGTTGCAACATTCTATCGCTTGTGACTTTTATCCTCCTGCCAATTTTTGGTACTCAGCAGTATAATGACATCACCCTACTGTTATATTTATGCAGAATATGTCATGTTCTTAGTTCTCTTAGCCTGATCCAATTTTGTGATCATCCTGTAAGACATTGTATGTTCATAGGTTTATTTTAGGTTTGTTCATTGGTTTATTTCATTTGCAGCAGGAACGATTCGTTTTAAAGAAAAGTAGTGCTTAACCTCTACAGCTTCCACCCTTCAAAAAGTTTTGGCAAGAACATGAAAAATTGGTGTCTTAAGATTTTGTTACAACACAATGCATAGTCCACACTTCTTTATGTCAAACATGTTGTTGTAGCTATTTGTCATGTTCTTTCTTACCAGTTTGAGTGTTGCTTTATTATGTTTTGCACTTGTTGCTTTAGCTGGCATTCATTTTTGATATCAGTGAAAGAGTGCTTGATAATTCCAAGGGTTGCACTCTGCAAAGTAGCCCTGCTAAACTTTTGATGAAATGTTCTTTTATCACCTTTAGTTTCCTATACAGGCAGAAATTCCTTATTTTTGAGTTGTTTGATGGTATCATCCAGACAGGAAAGGCTATTTTTTGGGATATTAGGTTATCAGTCATTTCCTGGAAACATAGTCATATTTTTTTTCTGTAGTATTTGGAAAATTTTCTTGCAAAGTCTTTAAAATGTGTACGGGTATTGTTCCTTATTTTTGAGTCGTTAAATGGTATCATCCAGAGAAGAAGGGCTTATTTTTTGAGATATTGGGTTATCCGTCATGTCCTGGAAACATAGTAACTTTTTTTTTCTGCAGTATTTGGAAAATTTTCTTGCAAAGCCTTTAAAATGTGCAGGGGTATTGTTCCTTAAAATTAGCTTCAATGGATAGAGTGAAAATAGGTAAAAAAATAGATCTTATTTGAAACTCCTTAGGACTCTGAGACATTTTGTTTCAAAGAATAGGTAACAAAAAGTATTGACGCAAAAAGGAGAAATATTGTATTGAAACCTACTAAGTTATTTAGAGTAAGATTTTTTTATAGTTAACAATGGTGCAAAGTTCCTTTTATCAGGAAAAACTGTAATACCATACAATTTGCCCTTCTTCCTTTGTAAAGAAGTGTGTAAATGATCCAAAACTTTATATTCTAATTTTTTTTGCTCAGACAGCTCAAGCACAGGTTATTCAATTAATGTTCTATTTTAAACAAGAACGAAATCTTGTACTCTGATCTTTATCCAACCTTTTTCTCAGTTATCATTTAAGATTTTACTTGAGTTTTGAAATCATTAATTTGTGAGAAGCAATGATGACCCAGGAGGACTGGGTTGGGCCAATTTTCAGATAGTAAATCTCAGGTTTTTACTTGATTGTCAGTAATGGGAAGGGAATTTTAGGTTTGATAGGAATATTTATTTCACCATAAATAGTAGCCCTATGACATGGTGATGTCATTTGCTTAAAATTTACCTCAAGCCTCTACTATTTTTTAATTTAATGAGCATCTACCACTTGTGAGTAGTGCTTGGGAAATATTTCCTCATCAGCCTTGCCAAGAAGCAAGGCTGTGGTGAAATTGGGTTTTCTTCTGTGAGTAAGGTCAGTTATTATGGGATTGGTGGGGGAAGAGGAAATTTAGTTTTGGCCAGGACCCAAAATGTTTTGCGTGGGTGTAATTGTTTTCAGAGTAATACTTCAAATAAAATTATTTTACTTTCAGATTGTAGGTAGTATATTCTTTGCTTTCTCTACCCTTTTTTTATCATCCTTTAATCATTTGTCTTGATCTAGTTTGTGACATTGAAAAGAACTTATGTGCTACACTGTATCTCTATTGTTTCAATGCTTCACCTGAAACTTGGCCAACATCAAATAAAACATGCTGTTCAATGGGAAGTCTTTGAATTTCCAAAACTATTCTGTTGAAAAAAGGGTTGATTACAGCTGTTTATCAATCTTTAAGGAAATGCTCTTCTCTTTGGAACCCAGTGGTACATGAATGTCTTAATATTATTTTGAGAAATTTGGGCAAAATACCTTCTAACAGAGAGGAAAATGACATAAACTCTGAAATGATGAAAGAAAATGCCTAGAGAGTGTTTATGACAGTCAAGACCTCAATGTTTGAAAATTACAGTCCTTCCAGAGCATAGTTCTCCATTTACAAGGGTAACTAGATTTCCTTCAAATGAGGTCTTTGTCTGAGGCCCCCCCCCTCCCACCTATTTCTCCTTGATATTATACACTGAGTGTAAATCTCCCCAGTTAATCCTTTGAAATTGGCCTTGCAGCCCTTATTGTCTTGCAGTCTCTGACTTTAACAAAGATCTACGGCCAATCTCACTTACTTCAACCATGTCAAAGATCGCCGAGAGCTTTGTTATCGAGAAAGCTCTGAAACCCGTGGTGCTATCTCATATTGATCCAGGTCAATTTGGTTTCATCCCGGGCTCTTCCACTACGTTCGTGCTTATCTCGATGTTTCATCATTGGCTGCGCGCCACCGACGGCACCGGGGCGTCTGTAAGAACCGCTCTACTGGACTTTCGCAAAGCTTTCGACTTAGTGGACCATAACATCTTGGTTGGTAAACTTCATACTCTCAGAATTAAGCCAACTGCCATCAACTGGATTATTGATTTCTTGAGGGACAGAAAGCAAAGAGTTAAGCTCAACGGAGTTTACTCTGATTGGCTTAGTGTTCCTGCGGGTGTTCCCCAGGGGACTCGTCTTGGCCCTTGGTTATTCTTGGTGCTGATAAACAATCTTAAGTTACCTGAA